ATGCTATGTTTAGGTAAAATGTGGAACATGATGAAAATGAAGTGTTATATGAAGGTAGATTTAAAAAATGAAAGTTGAATGCTTTGTTTGTGTGTGTGTATATATATATATATATATATATATATATATATATATATATATATGAAAAAGCAAAGGTATATAATGGTAGTTTTAAAAAACAATGATAGTATAGTATGTTTGTGTAGAAATTGAAAAACATACGAAACTGCAATGGTATATAAGGGTAGTTCCAAAAAAAATGATTGTAAAAGGCTATGTTTGGGTAGATTTTTTGAAAGAAGATGAAAGTGCAACTGTTTAACAAGAAAGTTTTAATAAAAAGAAAGTAAAATGCTATGCTCGAGTAGAATTTGAAAAAAAAAAAAAAGATAAAAATGCAACGGTATATAAGAATAGTTGTTTTAGAAAATGAAAGTAGAATGTTGTGTTTGGGTAAATTTTGAAAACAGATGAAAATGCAATTATGAATCAAGGTAGTTTTAAAAATAAATTACAGTATAACGCTATATTTTAGTATATTTTTCAAAAGAGATGAAAATGCAACGGTATATTAACATAGTTTTTGTAACAAATGAAAGTAGAATGCTATGTTTGGGTAGAAATTGAAAATATATATATAAATATATATATATATATATATATATATATATATATATATATATATATATATATATATATGAAAATGGATCGACAAACAAGGCTAGTTTTTTAAAAAATGAAAGTAGAATGCTATGTTTGGATATAATGTGAAAAAAAATGAAAATACAATGGTATAAATGGTTAGGTTGCGTTTAGTTACGAAAAACAATCTTCATTTCCCATTTTCTGTTTTCATTTTTCAGTTTTCGTTTTCCGTTTTCTGTTTTCATTGGAAAATTTAGAAAACATATTTAGTTAAAACTTATTCCTTTTTCTTTTCCGGATTAAAAAAATTAGAAAATGTGTTTAGATATGTATTTTCTATCGATTTTCATTTTTAGAAAACGGTAGTGGTGGTAGGTTGGAATTTAAGGTAGTGGTGTGTGTGTGTGAGTGTGTGTTTGTGGGGGGTAGTGGTGGTGATGTGTGTGTGTGTGTATTTGTGTGGGTGAGGGTGGTTGTGTGTGTGTATTGTGTGTTTGTGGGGGTGAGGGTGTGTGTTTGTGTTTGTAGAGGTGGGTGTGTGGGTTTGTCGAGATGGGGGGTATATAAGGGTAGTTCCAAAAAAATGAATGTAAAACGTTGTGTTTGGGTAGATTTTGAAAAAAAAAATTAAAATGCAACTGTTTAACATGAAAGTTTTAATAAAAAGAAAGTAAAATGTTATGCTAGAGTAGAATTTGAAAAAAAAAATATGAAAATTCAATGGGTAAATTTTGAAAAGAGATGAAAATGCAATTATGAATAAAGGTAGTTATAAAAATAAATTCAAGTATAATGCAATATTTGAGTATATTTTTCAAAAGAGATGAAAATGCAATGATATATAAAGATTGTTTTTGTAAAAAATGAAAGTAGAATGCTATGTTTGGGTAGAAATTGAAAAAATATGAAAATGGATTGGCAAACACAACTAGTTTTTTAAAAAATAAAAATAGAATGCTATGTTTGGATATGATGTGAAAAAGGATCAAAACACAATGGAATAAAAGGTTAGTTTTTTTTATAAAAAAAAATGAAACTAGAAGGCTATGGTTGAGTAGAATTCGAAAAAGATGAAAATACAATTGTGTAACAAAGGTAGTTTTAATAAAAACAATGTAGAATGCTAGTTTTTATAAAAAACAAAATAAAATGCTATATAAGGGTAGTTTTAAAGAATGAAAGTTTAATTTAATGAAAAGGTATATAGTATCTTTTTTTTTTAATATTAAAATATAATGCTATGTTTGGGTATAATTTGAAAAAATATGAAAAATGTAAGAGTATATCAATGTAGTTTTGAAAAAAAAATGGAAGAACATTTTGTTTGGCTGGATTTGGAAAAAAGATGGAAATGTAATACTATATCCGGGTGTTTTTTTTAAATGAAAGTAGAATGCTTTGTTTGGGTAGAGTTTGAAAAAAGATGAAAATGCAACGGTATATAATGGTGGTTGTTAAAAAAAATGATAGTATAGTGTTATGGTTGGGTAGAAAGATAATGGTAGTTTAAAAAAATGAAAGTAATGTTAAGTTTGGGTAGAATTTGAAAAAAAAAATATGAAAATGCAATTTTGTAACAAGATAATTTTAATAAAAAGAAAGTAGAATGTTATGTTTGGGTAGAACATGAAAAAAAATGGGTATACAAGATTAGTTTTAAAAAAATGGAAAGTAAATGCTATGTTTGGTGAAATTCTGAAAATAGATGAAAACGCAATAGTATATCAAGATAGTTATATAAAACATGAAAGTTGTATTCGAGTAAATTTTCAAAAAAGATGAAAATGGAATGCAGAATGAGGGGTAGTTTTTTATAAATAGAAAATAAATTTTTATCTTTTAGTAGAAATGAAAAAAAAAATGAAACTAAAATGTTATATGAAAGTAGTTTTAAAAACGCAAAGTTCAATATCATGATATATATATATATATATCTATATATATATATATATATATATATATATATATATATATATATATATATTAAAGAAATGAAAGTTAGGAACAGTAAAGTTCCTAAGGAGTTGGCAAAATTGGTCCCCTGTTTATTTGTGTATGTTCAATTCGGTAAGCTGTTGGTTTTTTGACAATTATGGTCCAGGTCTTTACATGTTTGTATATGTTCACCTTTCTTTTATTGGTTTTTCATAATACATCCCTGGACAATGGGAATTTATTGTATTTATTTATTAATTAATTGTTTTTTAAACATGTTTTTACGTGGCTTGGAATTAAAGCAGGACCAATTTTCACCGCCCTTCTCTTCCAATCAGCTGCTAAGAGAAGCCACATGTTCTCCTCAGATGTTGCCACCACGTATAGCACTTCAGGATCTAAATCCCCCACCGCCATTTTGTTCTGATAATTTCCAGTTCTCTGTTGCAAGTCACGGCTTCCATCACCTTATTAGAGAAGCTTCTTTCTTCCACCGCCAGAAGTTTTACGCCTCGTTCCCGAGTTTAACAAAAGAAAAGAGAAAAGAAGAGAAAGAGAAAAGAAAGTCGTGAGAGAAAAGAAGAGAAAGGAAAGAAAAACAAAATTTTCTTTTGTGTTCCCGAGTTGGAGAGAAGTGGAAGGAAAATGAATCATTTTGTTCTTTCTTTTCAAATCCTCCCAAATCAGAAGGAAAGTTAGGAAGGAAAGTGATCCTTCCATTTCCCTCCACTCCTTCCACATCCCTCCTTTAATAAAACTCGAAAACATCAATTTCTTTTATTTTCTTCTCATTTCCACCTATTTACTTTCCTTTCTCTCGTTAAGTTGAACTCGGGAACCGGGTGTTAGAGTTACCGACTCCAATAAAAAGTATATCGACTCGATTCCGACTCCTTGCGACTTCTTTTACCATTCACCACACTATAACCTACCGCTTCCTATGTCTTTCTTTCTTTGCCATCGGTGCTCCTTTAGTCGTCCATTTCACCTCTTCCACCGCATCACAGATTCCAATCGCCTCTCCTCCGATTGCGCTGCCGATTGTTTCCCTCTCATTCTACGACGAAATTTTAGGTCAATCGATATCCGGCGACCATCAACAAAAAGAGAAGACGGTCACAAGCCGACTTCTGACTTGCAGGTTTCTAGATTCAAAGGGTGTAACTTGGCGCCCGAAAAAGCATAAGAATTCAATACTTTCGCTCCCTTCCATTAAAGACTAGAGAGCAATGAAGTTGTGGACCCTCAGTGAACAGTTGAATCGAATCGTTTTTTCTGTGTTCAATTTTAAACATCATCGCCACATCTCCTCCTCACACCAACGAATTCTGGTCACACACAGTCGACAAAGAAATGGGAAGACCATTTCGTTATGTGATAATTGATGGAGGTGTCGCCGCCGGTTATGCAGCTCTCGAATTCTCAAAGAAGGTGTCTCTCATGGTGAATTCTGTATCATCTCCGATGAACCTGTAATTTTGCTTCATTAATTTGCTTCATTCTACTTCATCATGTTATAATTTTTCATCATGTTATAACTTCAGTTCCTAAAGTAAGCATTCCTGATCATGTCGACTATGCACACCAGGTGTTTGATCTTTTGCTTATTGTCTATGTCTTTGATATTTTTTTTGCAGGTTCGGATTATATTAATTTATCACTTCCAATCTTTTGCAGAACTTTTTTGTACACACTTAAATGCAACTCTGTCCATCCTAATGCAGATGTCTGCAATTTCTTGGTTACCTGGCCGTCGGCTTCAAGGGGTGAATCGGAGGTTACTTTTTTTGCGGATATGTTACCTTCAATGTAGGTCCATAGAAGCATAATACGTTTGATACAAATTAAAAAAAAACAATTTATGCATTTTAAATTGCAGGTTGCAAAGGAAAATGGGACTACTCTGCCTCAAGCTCGATGATTTATCATTCCTTATCATTCTTTCTATCGTAAGTAAATTTGCTATATTTAATAATATTATTTCCTAAAAAACAAAGTATGAATGTATTTGTTTTAGATTGTGGCAGCAATGCATCGGTCAGGAGCTTATATGCATTTGATGAATGAAGGGGATGTTGAGAACTTCAAATGGCTTCAAATTTTCAACTATCCAAATTTTGTGTATTTTCCTAATAAATAAAATGACAAAACATTGGACCTTTTAATCAATCCCAGGTAAATATTTAAGGTTACTTCTCATAAAACAAATATGGTATAACTTTTGGACCAAACCAATGTCACTAATATCTTGTATCGATTTGTTAGGCACAAATAGGAAAATTTGTGTTGGAATCTTGCTGGGAAAGGAAAAGTTTCCTTTAGTCTTGGAGAATTCAGTTGTCAATTATTTTATGAAAACTTTATGAAACTCATTTGACCATTTGGATAAAAAATTTACTTATTATTGTCCATCCAGTTAAATGGAGCTAAAAACATCATCCATCGGGTCATACTTGCATCATAAATTGGGTGTAATTGCCAGACCCTTCAGGTACCATGTTTTGTATTTCTATACATTTGTCTCTTTTGATTCAAGCTAACCAATTCTTTTATTGCGCCTCAAGACCTATTGAAAATGAAATTATTGGGATCGATTTGGGTACCACAAACTCATGCGTTTCAGTCATGGAGAGAAAGGTAAGATCTATTTCTCACCTTTTCAAAACACACATGAGTTAATTTTGAATTTGTATATAAACTGCTAAAGTTATTAAGAATGCTAAAGGAGCACATACAACACCTTCTCTTGTGGCTTTCAACCAAAAGGGAGACTTAATTGTGGGAACTCCAGCTAAACGCCAAGTAGTCACTAACCCTACAAACATGTGTCTTGATTTGCATAAATTAGCTCTGTTTCTTGAGTGTATATGATTTTGCTGTGCATAAAGGAGCTGGAACATCCAAGAAAAACCGGCCTACTTCTGGTAAGGAGCCTTTTCAAGTTCCAGGAAAGTCAAATTAATGGTGTTACTTTGAATTAGATACAAAATCCAGTACCACTTCTTTCCGATAGTTTTAAGAGAAAATTGTTCTTCTAGGTTTCAAATGATTTATCTCTAAATTATTCTAACATGTTTCTCTTAGTGAATTTTTGCATCCACTTGTGCTTTTTTCTCACATGTGTCTTTGTCTTTATTTTTCTATTTGTTTTTTGCTTGGTTTCTGCAAATTATCGTTACAATCTACTCTTGGTCCAACCAATTTATCATATGCATACCGAATAGCTTACCGAGGTAACAGAATAATAATTATTTTTATTATATTTTTATAATGTTTATATTATTTTAAAATTATATTTAAAGGAGATATTTAAATATTCAGGGCATGTGATTATTCACCGTGGTCGGCATGGAGCTAGAGCTACTACAGCTGGAAATAGAGTCAACTTATTGATTCGATGCAGACATTTTTTTTTCGAAATAAAGTAAATTTATTGAATTTGAAAATGTTTTTTTTTATAGTTTTGTGTTTAGAGAGATGAGAAAACATAGGAAGGAGTTTACTAGCTGGTATGGTGAATGTCAACGAGAGAAGAACAAAAAACAAGGGCAAAAGCGTCAAAGCCTCCAAACAGCCACTAAAAATGGACTTATCAGACTTAAAAACCAAAACCATATGTATTAATTTTTCAACTCATAACACCTAAGATTCACTTACTTTCAGGGTATAATATACGGTAAAAGTACATACAGCAGAAACATTAAGCAACTTGTATCTGTTTCAAATTGCAGGAAATAGTAATGTACATTTTTGCTATTAGGCTGGAGGGAGTGGCTCGCCGGCGAAGCTTGCCTCCAGCTCGCTAAGCAACTCGGCAGGTGAGGTTCGCTGCCGGGTTAGAAAGAGGAAAGAGAAAGATGTAAAGAGAATAAGGGCTTGTGATTGGTCGTTTTTCTTTGTTTTTTCTTTGTTTTTTCTTTTGTTCAAATCAGATGCCTTTTCATTGGTTTTTTAGGTGGAAGCTAAAAATGTGATGTTAATGCGTGACTTTTGTTTACCAAATTTTTTGTTGGCTATTGTTTTACAGGAAAAAAAAAGAGGGGATTTTTTTTGCGCATGTGTAATTCTTCCAGCTGCTATTTATGGACCCGAAGAAGAAAGATACACCAGTCTTTTAAAGCAACCAACTTATATCAAACGGGTCATTAATTTATTTTAGATTAATTATATTTTCCTTTTTAAGGCAAAAAGATTCATGTTGCAATCGTAGTCTCTATGAGTCTGGTGACTTTATTGAGCTGGATACATCATTCTAATTAGATCCAAATGTGTAATGATTATGTAATTGTGCATATGAAAGTACATGCCTTTATTAGACAAAACATAAAAGTACTTTTCTATTTTAGACATCACCGACCCCTCCGCCCCATGCGAAGCATGGGTTTCTTTCTAGTTAAAAAAAAATGAAAAAGGAAAGGTATATCAGTGTAAATTTGAAAAAATTGAAAATACAACATTTTGTTTAAGTAGATTTGTAAAAAGTATGAAAATGCAGTAGTATAAAATGTTAGTTCTAGAAAAAAATGATAGCATAGTGTGATGTTTGGATAGAAACTAAAAACCAAATGAAAATGCAATCGTATATAAGGGTAGTTTTTTAAAAAAAATGAAAGTAGAATGCTTCGTTTGGGTAGAATTTGGAAAAAAAAAATGAAAATGGAATAGGGAATAAGGGTAGTTTTTTAAAAATGAAAGTAGAATGTTATGTTTGGGTAGAATGTAAAAAAAAAAAGATAAAAATGCAATGGTATTCAAGGCTAGATTTTTTTTAAATGAAACTAGAATGCTATGTTTGGGTAGATTTTGAAAAAAGATTTATATGAAATTGTGTAACAAGCTAGTTTCAGAAAAAAAAAACAAAATACAATGCTATGTTTGGGTAGAATGTAGAACATGATGAAAATGAAATTTTATATGAGCGTAGAATGCTAAGTTTTTGTAGAATGTTAAAAAGATGAAAATGCAATAAGGTTAGTTTTAAAAAAAATGAAAATAGAATGTTATGTTTGGTTAAATTTTGAAAAAAGATGAAAACACAATGGTATATCAAGATAGTTTTAAAAAACATGACCGTTGTATTCGAGTAGATTTTTAAAAAAGATGAAAATGCAATGCAGAATCAGGGGTAGGTTTTTTAAAATGAAAATAGAATATTATCTTTTAGTAGAATTTGAAAAAAATATGAAAATGAAATGCTATATGAAGGTAAAAAAATTGAAAATAAAACATTTTGTTTGAGTAGATTTGTAAGAAAGATGAAAATGCAATAGTATAAAATGTTAGTTTTTTTTTAAAAAAAAAATGAAAGTATAGTGTTATGTTTTGGTAGAAATAAAAAAAAACATATGAAAATGCAATGGTATACAAGGGTAGTTTTAAAAAAATTGAAAGTAGAATGCTATGTTTGGGTACAATTTGGAAAAAATATGAGAATGCAATGGTATATAATGGTTCTTTTAAAAAAAAAATGATAGTATGTTATTATGTTTGGATAGAAATTGAATAACAAACTAAAATGAAATGGTATATAAGGCAATTTAAAAAAAAATGAAATTAAAATGCTATGTTTGGGTAGAATTTAGAAAAAAAAATATTAAATTGCAATGGTATATAAGGTTAGATTTTAACAAAATGAAAGTAGAATGTTATGTTTGGATAGGATTTGAAAAAAGATGAAAATGCAATGGTATATAATGGTAGTTCCAAAAAAAAAATTGAAAGAAGAAATGCCTTGTTTGGATAGATTTTGAAAAAAGATGAAATGCAATTGTGTAACAAGGAAGTTTTAATAAAAAGAAAGTGGAATGTTACGTTTGGGTAGAATGTGAAAAAAGATGAAATGCAATGGTATATAAGGTTTGTTTTTAAAAAAAAAATGAAAGTAGAATGCTATGTTTGGGTAAATTTTGAAAAGAGATGAAAATGTAATTATGAATAAAGGTAGTTTTAAAAAAAAAAGTGCAATGCAATAATTGGATAGATTTTCAAAATAGGTAATATTGTAATGTTATATTCAAGTAATCTAAAAAAATGAAAGTACAATAATATATTTGGGTAGATTTAAAAAAAAAAAAAAAACCAAAAGTACAGATATGTGGGATATTTTCAAAAAAAGATGAAAATGCAATACTACATAATGTCGTATTGAAATAATGAAAGTATAATACTATATTTGAGTAGATTTTCAAGAAAGATGAAAATGCAATGCTATTTTAGGATAGTTATAAATTAAATGGAAGTACAATGTTATATTTGGGCAGATTTTCATTAAATATGAAAATACAATGTTTCATTTGCGTGGATTTTCAAAAAAGATGAACATGCAATTCTATATCAAAGTAGTTTTAAAAAGTTGAAAATACAATGCTATATAATGGTACTTCCAAAAAGTAATGTAAGTAGAATGCTATATTTGAGTAGATTTTTTAAAAAGATGAAAATGCAATAATGCTATATCAGGGTAGTTTTAATAAATGTGAAAGTACAATGCTATATTTAGGTAGATTTTTAAAAATGATGAAAATATAATGCTATATAAAAAATGAAAGTACAACGCTATATTTGGGTAGATTTCCAAATAATATGAAATTTTAATGCTAAATCAGAGTAGTTTTAAAAAAATGGATGTAAAATGCGATATTTTGGTCGAAGTTTTCAAAAAAATGAAAGTACAATGCTATATTTGGGTAGATTTAAAATAATAATAATAATAATAAATTACGGTGTGTGGAAGATTTTCTAAGAATATGAAAATGCAATGTTACATAGTGTAGTTTTAAAAAAAAATGAGAGTACAATTTGGGAGGATTTTTAAAAAAAGATGATAATACAATGCTATATTTGGGTAAATTTTCAAAAAAGTTAAAACACAATGCTATGTCTGGGTAGTTTTAAAAAAAAAAAAAACACAATGCTATATTTGGGTAGATTTTCAAAGAAGATGAAAGTAAAATTGTATATTTGGGAAGATTTTCAAAAAAGAAGTGGGTGCAATGCTTTTTTTTTAAGATTTTCGAAAAAAGATGAAATTGCAATGTTATATAGTGTGGTTTTAAAGAAAAAAAAAAAGTACAACGCTACATTTGAGTAGATTTTCATAAAAGATGAAAGTACAATGCTACATTTAGGTGTATTTTCGAAAAAAGATACAAGTACAATGTTATATTTGAGAAGATTTTCAAAAAAAAGGAAAATGCAATATTATATAGTGTAGTTTTAAAAAAAATGAAAGGTTAATGCTATATTTGTAAAGATTTTTAAAAAAGATGAAACAACAATGCTTACTTTTTAAAAAAAAAAGTACATTGCTACATTTGGGTAAAATTTTAAAATAGATGAAAATGCAATGAGGTATATATGTTCGTAGTACAATGTTGCTCCTACATAACATATAATTACCACATACCAACTTATGAACAATATGGGAGAGCTATTTCATTGATACCCTATAAGACATTTTGCATGTATATTAAATAATCAGCAAAGTAAAGTTTTTGGTTTTGTACCTTATCAGAGGTGAGTGACTTGGTAGGCTTTTTCGGGGCAGCATTGTTATCTTCTTCTTCTTCTTGTGGTTTCTGTATTTGGGTTCAAAGAAAACCAAAAGGATGCCATTTTAGAAAACCATTTTTACTGATTAGATTTATCTTTAACTAGAAAACTTGAAACGGCGGGTGCCTTTAAATTCTTATCTACAACAATATAGAGCAATGAGATATATTATTTTGATGACTTAAATAACCCTAGATCTCAAACATAGAGATGAATTCTCCCAAAACAACATACAAACGACCATATTTCAAATTTCAAACAGATTCAGCAGAAGTTACATGAAAAAATCTCTTCTCATATATTAAAAACAAATAGAAATTGATCGATTTGAGTTTCAAAACCGTAGAAGTCAAAATTAAAAAAATAATAATAAATAAAAAATCAAACCTCTGTTTGCATGTTGAATCAGAAAAACATTTCTTCTTCTTGATCTTGATTATGACCAAAAACTCTCAACTGCTCCAGTTATCCTATCAGATAGCCAGAAAAAAAGGATGTGTTACATGATATTAGTTGATACTCATTTTACAAATCTTCATAAATTTATATAAAATGGGGCATTTATCATGCTAAGTAATCAATCCATGTGTTAATAAATGTGGCATATTATGTGAGACTAACAATAGCCTGTGATAACAATGTTATTGTAAACATGTAATATTACAAAAAGGTTAAAACCAACTAAAAAAAATGTTACTACACAATCAATATGTGTTTTAAACTCATGAGCACACCCTTAATTGTTGACTTTGTACCCATCTTTTGCAGTTTTGTGTAACTGGATACAACGAAACAAAAAACAAAAAAACAAAAAAAAAAAAAAAAAAATTGTTGTTGATTTCTACATTGACAAAGTTAACAGACTAGACATTTATTCCTATATGCATAATTATCGTCAGTATGAAGAAAAGCCTTTATGGGACTAGTAAAAATAACCAATCAGAAGCAGACACAGTACTAATTACTGAAATACAAGGGAAGATTGTTGACTAAAGCATCATGTCTGATAAAATTAGTTTTCTTGTCCATATTCTTCTTTACGTTGCAATGCATCTGGTGCAGTTAGTTAAACTGACAAAATCAGGGTTTACAGAAAAACACGCCAACGAGAAGATGAAGAAGAAGGAACGAGTAGAAAAAAGAATAAATTCAATAAAAAAAACAATTGACCTTCGATTCTTCCTTACTCAAGCATCAATTTCCGTTTACAAGGAAATTACAAAATCTTAATCACAAAAAACCCTAGCGAAAACTTACAACAATCTTGATAATTACTTGGACTATAGGGATGAATGAGAGTCTCCTGCGAAGGTTGGCGATGTTTAGGTCTCGGCAGCTATAGATCGCTATGGGTCGGTGTTTAGGTTTCTTGAGAGCGAAATGACTGACTAATGTACATATACAATGCGCTAACTACGAAGCAATCCTTTCGAAATCAAGGGTTTCTTGGATCTCCGGCGAAGGAAGGTGGTGCTATGGTCGCTGGGGAGCGGAGGAGTTACAGAGGTCATGGGTCTCCGGAGTCTTTTTGGGTCTGTTGAAGGCGGGATACCTGAAGAACGAATATATTGCGGGAATAAGGAGCGAACCCTTTCGAC